GTCGGATTCAAACCCTGGGCCGCTGCATCAAGGACTCAGCCTCGGTACATGGGTCGCCAGCTCTACCCACTGAGCTAACCAGGCACCCAGGTCTTAGGTCATATTTTTGTTGTTTTAGTCATCACTTATCTCAACAAAACAAACTTAACTAATAATTTATTTGCTGCACTCTGGAAACATGGCAACATTGCCACGTCAAAGCTTGACAAGGCTAGAAACATGAGCTGCCAGCTGATCAGACAGCTTATAAACAAGCCATCAGTTCACTTGTCTATAATTATCTTTCGATGCACAGAAAAAATGTGTGCATGCATACAATAACCAGGAAGGTGGTTTGTAAACCATGATGGATGTTTGACATTTTGGGTAATAATTCTTACTATTAGTCTTCATTCATTCCTCCAAACCTACAGGCTTGTTTAAAAACGGACTATCTGACTGCTCATGTGTCTTGCCCGATCTGACTTCTTTCTCTTAGATCTCAGGAATTAGCTTGGTGAGTAACAGACAAGATCAATGACCAAAATTGCATAAAATCAAAATTTCCCTTTGCAGTTTATCTCAACATATGACTAAGGCTGTTTGGCCATATGAGACTTTGAAAATCACCCCTTATATCTCAGCCCGTCTTCCATGCTGAGAGAACTCCAGCATGAGTCACTTTCATCTGTTTCCATCACCTATTCTCAGACAGATAACCCATTTGAGCACCTCCTCAGGTATTCACTGTGGTACAGTATGCAGCTAATGACACAAATATACGATAGACACCCAGCCATTTATCTTCTTACTACCATCATTTTTAAGTCAATTAGCCCAGTCAATATGCTGTGTCAGTTATTACCCACAATATACCATAGGTAAATTACTTCTATGCAGTGCAGACACCTTTATCGGGTTGACACCAAGGTAAAGGCAGTTGGAGGGAAATCAGGAAGACAGATTGACGGCACAGAATGGAAACACGTCAGCTTGGTGAATCACAAGTGCTTCAGTGGGGAGGTTATATGGAAAAAGGAATATTGTGTAGGTGGCATCTTTACATGAAGACAGTGAATTCTAAAGTTGAAGGTCCCTATGCAAAGTACTGAAAGAGAGACAAGGATCCAGAGGGCAGCATTAGTATGCATGCTTCCCCTCTCTTTTCTGCCTTTCTCAGTTCTCAGTGTTCTCTACTGCAGTCTGATCTTCTGTGCCATCACCAGCCCTGCTACATCATCTTCCAAGATCCTTTATTCCCTGTTTTATCTTAAACATGCTATGTCGGTGACAGCAACGTCGCAGTGGGGAAAGAGCAGCTGAAATCTTCTTTTGAGATGCTCAGGAAGCAGTTGTGACACTCGATCTCTAACATTATGCTGCCAGCTCGCTCCACAGAGAAGGAAGAAGGATGTGTACTCCTGCCGAGGGGACATGGTTAAAATTTACTACAAGTTTTGAGATACAAACACAGAAGGCAAAGAAACTTTAAAAGAAATGCAAGACCGATGAAATATATATACAGCGCTGGGGTGACAGAGAGAAATAAGGTTTTATCTTGCAGTCACACTGCTAGATGTATGTTTTGTTGATGGTGGCACCAGATCCAGAATAGGTTATTTCCATTTCCCCGCTGATCTGAACAACATATAGGAAGCCTGTGACGATTTGTATGGGCTTTATTTAAAACCTGTACTT